CCGGCGGTGAACTTCTACCAGACGACACGACGCAACAACCCAGAAGGCTCACAGCCGTGAAAACCTCAAATCCTACATAATGGAATCCTGTTACTATGACAGCGGTTATCAACTGACGTTACATCACATCCTGCTGCATATGGTTCTTGTTCTATTTACAGCACCAATGGTATGTCCTAACGGATATAATGAAATATGACTACACAAAAGATGGTAGCGACGCCACACACACACAGGATTATCTCTATTGCCTCACACATCCAAACAGTTGCAAGAATTGAATTGTCTCTTGGGTTATCCTACAAAAAATTCTCATTCGTTTATTTTTTTACCAATTTCTAACTCGTTCCATATTCTATTCATATATTTACGTCATGATAAGTGTCTCTAATAAATCCACGGTACGTCATCTAAATACAAGGACAGCTGTCGTTGATGAAGCTTTGGGAGGGATTTTTTTTTGTTTCTGCTGAAGTATCATATGTATAAAAACAACACAAAGCTCCAACACAACAGTTGTTATGTATTTTTTGTCACTATGACGTTCATGTGCAGTAATTGTTCTGTATGCATATTGTCACGGTATATGAAGTCTGTGTGTATGTTCTGCTGCAGGGACCTTGAGTCTCATTCTGAGACCTAAGGGTGGAGTTTCAATGTGGCCCACGACACGCTCGAACAATGTCGAAAAACTTTTGAATCTCATGCACTTTTGTTTTTCTTAAATTCCAATGACGTTTTGAACTTGTACGCCGACCTCCTATTCTTATGGGCCTTTCATCGGTTAAATTACGGTTGAGTGGAGAAGCAAGAAATGTAGCTGTGTTTTGGTGGAGAATCCTCTGTTTAGGCTCTCACTTGAAAGACCGAAAAATAGACGAGCCTTACAGAAATATCTGATACTTAACCAGTCTTGGGGTGTAGAAAATAAAAATTAAAAAAATACGCCTTTCAGTTTCTCTGTCTGTCCGTTTGAAGAATTTCCCGAATACTTGAACGGATTTTAATTAAATTCCATACTAGGAAGTTATACTAAAATTTGTCGATATATGCAAGATATGGTCAAAATCGGACAACAATAACGGGCACATTACATAGAAACCCACATACGTTCTTGGATGGGGAATCCCTAGGCTGCCTCGGTTGCTGCATTTACCTGCAAAATCCCCAGTCAACCACAGAACTCTAACGTCACTGGTGACATTCGCAAGGCCAAGGAGTATTTTTGGTAGGCCTAAGTGCACAACCGTCAACTGCCGAAGAAGGACACTTATCCATACACATAGTGTTAATCAGCTGTATGTTTCGATGCACACATATGCAGCCTATTATGCAAAGCCTCTATACGCCTATCTGTGTTTTACATAAATAAGTAAAGTTATTGGTTTACTGCTTCCAAAGTTTCGTAAATGGGCCCTAGTTCTGTAATACGAGAGATACTTAACACAAATTAATCATAACTTGTCAGAGAATTATTTATTTATCTGCGTTTTATTTAACGACACTGTCAGCGGCTTGGATTATACAGACCTAGAGTCAAATGATAGGATGATTAATGAATACTGAAATGAGAAGGACATGGAAGGAAGCGGTCGAGGGTTCATTTAAGATGCCATTACAGTGTTCGCGTGGAGAGATTGAGGAAAACAATGAAAACCGTAAATCAGGATATAAATCTAAATTTCACACACATGGATACGAAATTAAATGAAACCTATAACTTTGCCTGTTGTTTTGTACGAATCTGAAACTGAGGGATGGGAAGACAAGAGACTGAACAGGACTTCATACCGAGGAACTTGACAACTTGCACTCGTCACCTAGGACATGATTAAATCAAGGATGAAGTGGGTGGGGAATGTAGCACGCATAGGGGAGATAAAGAATGCCAATAGAATTTCGGTTTGTGAGCCTGAAGCGAAGAATTTGGCGTAGAAGGAAGGATAAATGGATGTTAGGGAAATATCATGGGCCCGGTGCGAACACTGTAATGGACCTTAAGATTTCAAGAAAGGCCGGGGGGGGGGGGG